AAATTCTGCCTCAGTTTGGGATAGATTAACTAGAATGGATTTTTCCATGATGTTATATATTGGTATTGAACAGAAAGTCATTAGCAAAAGACCTGTCTGCACTGGCACAACCACAAAATTGAGCTTCTGTCAGATTACCACCTTTACCGATACACGCAGCTTGCCAAGGATGTCAGTTGGTTAAATTAGACACTGCTTGAGCCAGCCGGGACTACAAGATCAAATCCTGCCAGAAACTCTCCTACTCTGCCTTCATCACTGCTCTGATAAAGCTCAGAGACAGAGCTGACTGCAGACCACCTCAGGAAGAAATGAAAACATAGATAAACGGGAAACTGATTTAAATCTGAACTGATGATAGTTAATATAATTAATTTATCAAAATGTAAAAGTAGCAAAAACATGTTTGTGTGTTGCTCTGGCTTTTATTTGGCACTGGGTTACTGAATATTCATAGCCCTTCCAACATAAAGCAAAGAGGCTGATGAACAAAAAGAACACATTATTTGTAAATTACACTTTGTAAAAAAAATGTTTACTTATTATATGAATTTATAATTTAGGTTTGGTCAACATCCTCTTTAACTGAAAAGCTGCAATCTATATATACACTTGCAGATTTTTGAAAGTTTACCTTGAAAGTACGTGGCTAAAACCCAATCCTAAGCCAAACTCTAAACTTGTTTCCAGTGGCCCGGTGGATGCTAACAGTTTACATTTTTCTTGAATTAAAAACCTCAAGAATAAAGATTAACAGTTTTTTAAATGAGCCTCATAAATCAATTTTGTCTATACCATAGAGTCAGGAAAAGGGAAAATGTGAATAGTCTTTGCTCTCGCCTCAGCTTTCAGTCTGTGCTTGAGTCAGTTTCAATATTTCAGGAATACAGAGACTTTGAGATTGTCTATATAATTACAAATAACTAAGAAATTCTACTTTGTGTTGCGTAATTTTTGAAAAATGTTGAAGCAGACATCATTTCAAGTGAAATTACAGCAATGGAGCACAAGCTTTTCAAAGTGACAGGCACTGACATGTAGAATAAAGAGAAGCTTACCTGCTTGGAGAGCCAGAGCTCAGAGCTTTCTTCATGTCTCTGAAAAACATGTCAGAGCAAAATGTCAAATGAGTGTTAATTCACCCACATCATAAAGATATTCTCATCTGTTACAGCCTTTCTTTCAAGGTTCTATTTTCTGCTTCGATTTGGTGCATTGTGGTTTGGAAAATGCAAACAAAACGAGCACGATAATTGATGTAATCACGTTCTTTTCCAAAATCATTGGTCTTTTATGTCAGCAAAATATTTACACAAGTGGTATATTTCTAATACTGTGTAAAAGTGATGCTGGAGTAGCACTTCAGTGGCTCATTTTCCAGACATAATCAACTGTCACGTAATAGCCTCCTTATTTTGCTGTTTATTTTAACACACCACTTGGGACATCATTCCCAGTTTGAACCCTCATTTCAAACCAATATGCATAAGCAGAAGCCAGAGTTTTGGCAAGAGGGCTCTGGGTGCTGTTTCCAGGCCTTAGCTAAGCTGCCTCTTGGCTGGACAGCGTGTTTGTCCATGCAAATCACACCAAATCAGAAAAGTGCAGAATTGGAGAGCGCCCTGTCCAGTCCCACGGTTCAACTGCGAGGTTAACACTGCTCTGTGTTGCCCAGTAAATATGGAGAGAATCTGGAACTGTGCTGCAATTTCGGCAGAAATTTTTCTCCAAACCGAAGAGTGCTTTTCAAACTTTTTCCGTCAGGGAGGCTAAAAGTACCTGTGTTTCTAAGTTTTGTTTTTATCACTCAACGACAAGTTACTGAACAGCCATTGGGTGAAACTGTTCTCAAAGAGGTATTTGGCGCTGTACCAAACCCCTCCTTGCTATAGTTTTGGTCGCTAGCAGTCTGGTCGCAGTCACCAGTTATATGTATGAAAGACACCAAAGTGTCTTTGGTAAAGACACTTTGAAAAGTAAACAATGCACACTTCAAACTAGAATTTGCAAGTAGTTAGTGAGTGTTTCCAGAAAAGTCAGCATCTTCCATGCAAACTGCTGGCAATTTGGCAGTCTGCTAATGACTGAAGCAGTTACAGGTAGGTGCAGTACTCCGTGACAAACTCCAGCTAGCAACCATATCTTCAGCCAGTGTTGCCAACTCCTCAGTAAGGAAAATCGCTATTGGTTGTCCTAAAAGTCGCTAGAAGTCGCTAAATGACGTCATCACCCAATTTGCATAATTGGTCATGCTAATATAATAATAATAATAATAATAATATAATAAGCTGCTGGAGAGAGAAATAACATCGTGGACGAGACATAAAGTGAGCAAAAAACGTCCTAAATGCATTTAGAATTTATTTAGAACTACAAATTAAATTTCTTTTAGCAATTATTGTTTTTTGTAATGTCTTTCACGTCTTTTTTTAGCGACTTTTTTTCTAAAAAAAAGTCGCTAGGGGGTCTGAAAACTCGCTAAATATAGCGACAAAGTCGCTAAGTTGGCAACACTGTCTTCAGCACCAACCTCCAGCAACCACTTCCCAACTGTCTCTGGGACACACATTTTTCTCGAACAACCCGACTTTCTCCGTGGCAAGCTAACAATCCAGCTAAGTAATAATCTTTACAGCCATAATAACAGTTACAGGGGTTATTACAAGGGGGAAGACATCTCTCTGAGTCTGCATGGCACAGCTCCTCTGTGCGGAGAATCCTCTAATTGCAGCAATTAAAGCCTCCTCCCATATACAGAACTTATTTCAGTAGAAACTTTCTGGATTTAAATGCTGCCATTAATATTTCTGTGATATAAAAATTAATGAAGTCCTATATTTTGTCGGTTTTTAGTGATCTGGTTTCAGAAATACTCAAACCTGCCACAAGCAAAACACGAGATATTAAATAAAGACTTAACATCAGCTCTTTGATCATAACTAAACACTCTGTCACATTAAGAGTTTAATATGGTGCCTGTGCAATGAAGATAACACATGTCTGTGTAACTGCTGAAAAGGTGAATGAGAGTCATGCAAAAACAATCAATGTGCTTTCTGTTTAACATGAATAAAAGATGCCACCCTCGTTGCCTATCCTTACTTAGATCTTCATCTCACGGCAACAAAGCAGACAACAATCAATTAGTCATCTCAAAGAAGAAAAGGAGTAAAAAGTTTTACCTTGAAAATCAGATAAGATGTTCTAACTCACAAGGCAGATCTAGCCTTGATCAAATAATCTTAGTTTAGTGCTTGCTGCAAAGTTTTTAAACATGAGTGAATACTTTGTTATATCAAAAACAGAGAAAATAAGTCTTTTTTCTATATTAAGGAAGTTAGCGATACTTTATAACATGAGATAAAAGAAGGAAAAATGTGTTAACAATTTTTCTGTCCACACAAAAAAACACACACACAGACCGTGACGCAGGCTCCGGTGGTGGTGTCACACACAGTCAGGATGGAAATGTTCTGGGCCCGGTTTAACCATCTAACAGATGTCTTGGTCTTGCTGATCCACTTCACCATTGTCACATAATGTTCCCTATAAAAACAAATTATATCATAATGGTCATATCATGTCCTGTAATTACATGTTCACAGGCTAGATGCTTTTTTAATTCAGCACATCTAAAACCTATTAACAACTACAAACAACTGCTCTACACACTTAAGAAAAGGAACCATTTGCACAGCTGAGCTCACTGGTTTTTACACCTCTACAAATTACCTCAATGTCAAGCTGCTGTTTTCCTTTTGTTAGTTCTCTTCCACACAGTCCTATCATGCTGGTAAATGGCATGCAGACTTTCAACATTCATTAATATCCACTGAATTCTGGCACACAGTAATGCAAGATTTCTAAATGGTACTTGCATGTTGTAAAATAACTTCACCCACTGTGAGAATAATTGGCCATTGTTTTTTTTTTCCTTCATTTTATGAACTGAAAGCAGTTGTAACAACTACATGCGCAGAGTGAAAGATTTCCCAATTACAGGTGCAAAGTTAAGAGTGAGAAAAAATGATCATCTGAAGTTTGAAATGTCAGAGGTATCCCTTTAAGTGGCACAGCAGCTGGTGCAAAAGTTTGGCAGGGAAAATGCAGCTCCTCTCACCGCAGCTTGAGTGTCTCTGGAGGCATGAGCTCCAACGTGTGCGTCGGCCCGTAAAGGTTGACTACATAGAGCTTCACCGCTGGGTTGGGTTGACCAGCCTGCATGCAGAACCAACAGTCCAGAGTTTAGACAGAAATCTCACTTCACTGCTGCAGAAAAATGCTTTATGCAACACTCTCCAAAGTGGCAACTGTGACTTATAAAGTGCTGCCAAATTAAGTGATTTTGAATGAATAATTCATTGAGAGCAGTCTTTAAAAACTTAAATGCACATACGGTTATGCTGTTATGTGGAAACAATTTAGAATTTTTTGTCACACAAACTGAAAAACAGATACAAAAAAAGACATAAATACTTAAACTAAAGCAAGTACATATGACAAACAGGCATGTTAAACTTGACAATTTCAACATTATTCTGCATTTGATGCATTTAGAGCATTTAGAGCAAAGTTTAAAGGGTTAGGGGTATTGTTTGAATTAAGTTCATATCTGCTGTATTGTATTTTATTTTCACCTGTTTTCACAAACGTGACCAGGGTGTTCCTGGCCTTTCACCCAATGACAGCTGGGAAGTTCAATAGGATACTGATATGGTGCAGATCTATAAATACTCAGGTTGGCATCTGCACAACAAACTAAACTGGCCTTGAACATAGATGCTCTCTACCAAAAGGGGCACAGCTGTTTCTTTTAGCTAAGAAGGCTTAGCTCCTTTGAGGTCTCCAGCAAATGCTGCATGTTTTACCAGTCAGTCATGGCAAGTGTCTTTAATGCTGCACTGGGAGGCAGAGGGGAAGACAAGGACTTTGGCTTTTGGACAAATGGCTAAAAAGGAAGGGAAGTGGGGTCATTGGGGTTTGGTGGAGAGATGCACAGTGATCAGCTTACTTCACTGAGCTGCAGGACGGAACGGCTCAGAAGATCCTCGGTGCTCACTGTCATCAGGTTATTGAACACCTGAGTCAGTGGATAAATATCCAAAAGTCAATAGCCAAGGACCCCACAGCCATCTGTTACTTGCTCTGCTTGTCTCTGTTTCCTCTTCAACCATTCAACTACACAATTCTTATATAAAAAATAGCTTTTTTTGGTGGTTATTTAAATACAGTTAAACACATGTTAAATGATTGTGATAAATCTTGTTATTGCTCATAAAACACTAAGTAAAATCTTTATTCCTTTGTTGGATCATTTATGTTAAATAATATAAACAAATATTAAATACAAAATACAAATGTTAAATATGGCTTTAGAATCAGTGTGGCTGTTTAGATTTTTAGACAACTAGGTCAGCTGTTATTATACTGTTTAAGCTAAGCTAGAATATAAAAGTCATCATTCTTGTCTCACTAAAAAATTCTACCCAGGAAACAAGTCACAACTCTTCACTGGCTTGTCTTGCAAGTGGTGCCTCTTGTTGTTCTTCATCAAACTCATCTACTACCAAAAAACTCAGAAATACAGAGAAGCTTCGACGTGAATAGACTACCAAAAGTCTATGTGCTGGCCTTAAATATAGTTTACACATAGATGACAAATGGTCATCTACAATTATCATCACCAGGGGGCAGTGTCATGGAAAACTCTTGTGTGGGCAACTCTTGCTTTTGTAGCTACTGGTCATTCAAGCTGTCATGGAAATGAGTGTTAAACAATAAAAACCATCTACTGCAATTTCCCCCATTATTCATCCCCCGAATTCCGCTGAGGTTCCTTTTTCTGCCCTCTTTTCAGCCAGTTAGCATTCAACCCATACAAGTGTCAGTCCTGTTGGGCTATATGTGGTGTTGTTTTCTAAGAGGACTCTACACAAGTACTTTGACATCACATCCATTATATACACAGAATTCTTCTCTCTGTGTAGCCAAATACATACGAAACCAGATGATTTTTTTAAGAACCTCTAAACTAAAAAAGTGTGTGACAACAACAGCAAGTAAAACACTGAGCAGAAAAAAAAACATTTTGTATTATCACAATAACTTAAACAACCATATCTTATAGGCTACTATATTTCTGTAAATTAAGCTGAAGCATGATAGCATTGACACCGGCTGCTTTTATTTTTACTTTTACTCTTCCTCTTCTTTTAGCTTGACTGATGGAACCCAATCTGTCTCCCTCTCACCCTAGCCCTAAAATCCTCTTCTGTCACACCAACCCTGTGGATGTCCTCCTACACTACACCCAAAACCTTCTCTGAGGTTCCCCTTTCCCTCCAGTCTGGTAGCTCCATGTTCACAATTCTTTGTCCAACAATTCCAGTTCTATTCTATTCTGCTCTGTTTATATAGTGAGTCACAACAACAATCACCTCAAGACTGTTTATATTGTATGGTAAACCTCTGCAATAATACAGAGAAAACCCCAACAATCAAACGACCCCCTTTGAACAAGTACTTGGCGACAGGGGTAAGGAAAAAATCCCTCAGGGAGTGGCAACCATCTGCTGTGACCGGTTGGGGTTTGATGGGAGGAAGACATGATAAAAGACACACTCTAATATCCCTTCTCTGTCCACATGTCCAAATCTCAGCTCCCAAACCGCTCAGTCTGAGCTGTCCCTTTGACATGCTGATTTCTATTTCTGTCCATCCTGGTCACTTCCAGTGAAAATCTTAACATCTCCACCTTTACCAGCTACAGCTCTGCCTCCCATCATTTTGTTAGGCTCACAGTCTCCAAACCATAAACTATAGCAGGTCTCCATACCATCTTGTTAATCTTCCCCTCCACTTTTGATGGTATCCTTCTGTCACCCACTCCACTCTGCCTGTACTCTCTTAAGTCACCTCTTTTGTTCACTCTCTGTTGACTTGGATGGTTGACACCAGGCATTTAAATCTCTCTTCCTTTTATTTAGGATAAAAGATAATGTATGTGTGTTATATGCATGCATGTCGTCTAAGTGACGGTTACCTTGGGGTAGGGGTACTGCTTTCCTTTTGGGTATGTCATGCCAGTGAAGCGAGGTAAAGCCATGTTGGGCACCAAAGTGTCATTGAGAACCAGGAAGGCCAACCTCTCTCCATCAGGAGACCACCAGTGAGCCACATGGGTCTTGAGGATCTCCTCTATTTGGAAAAACCAGCAGAAAGTTTTAATCATTAAATTAATGAATATGAGGGGGCTGAAAGTATTAAAAATAGCTCAACATAAATGTTGTTCTTAAAGTCACAATGTGAAGATTTTTATATCGAGGTCCCAAATTTGAAGCCATCAGCTAATATTAGTTAAATTACTAACTGTACTGTAAATGGGCTCAGTTTAGTATAACGAGAAAACGCTTGTGTTTGAAGACCTAACACAAAACCAAACACATATAAGTGGAAAAAGGGGATGCTAGAAGAATTTGTGTTAAATTAGGTGTTAATCTGGGTTCAAGAATCACAGATAAGTAAATTACTTTATTACACAAACATAATTAAGAATAAAAGAGAAAAACAAGAAAACAGCAGTTACTGAGGTTGCTTGCCTTTTTAAATTAAAAAAAGAAAACATTTACATAAGCTTCTTTTCTCCTGAGAGATGGGGCAAAGTGGCTAAGTGTATGCAGTGTGTGTTTGCTTAAAGCACATAAAATGACTCCTCACACCCACGGGGGAGATATGAGCACCAGAACAAACATTATGAATATTTAATAATGGTGGTATTTCTAAACACAAGTATTTTTAGTTTAATGAGATAGTGTGTCAATGCTTTGAAATTAAACAGACATATTTTTTTATTCCAACTTCCCAATAGTTAAAGCTCACTGTCACAAAGAAGTTTCTCAGCAAGTCATTACATGCGTAAAGGTTTGTCTGTAACTGGCATTTTCTTGCCTGGTTTCTTCAAACAACACCCAGGTAAATGTATACTCTACCCAATTTTGCTAGTCTTATTCTCAGAATGTGAAAAAAATGTTTGGAGAAAACTGATAGGTACCTTCATAGAGCCAGTCAGCAATTCCATTGAAGATGACCCCGTCTTTTCCCGAGGATGTTAGCCTAAGGGAGTTGCTCTTGACATCCGACTGATAATAGATGTTGTTTTCAAATATGTAGATCTACGGAGACAAAGCACACACAGGCACGACTTAATATGATACAGTAAGAAATAAGGAAATGCTGCCAAAAGAAAAAATTGGTGCATGACTCAAAAACTTATTAAGCATGTGCCAGAGTTTGGACTGTAGCACACATGCACTGGATTAACAGTTACACTGAATGTGCACAGTACCTGCTCAGCATCCAAGCAATTCTTTTAGGATTAAAAGTGCGAGCCAGTGCTGGTAAGCCAAGTGATTAATGCTAATGTTCTGTGTACTTTATTTATGAAAGTAAGCTCTTACTCCTTAACAGCTCAACAGTAACTTTAAAATCACAAAATCTACCACTGGGATGTTAAAGTTCAGAGACTTGCACTCAAAAAATCAGGAGGATTTCTCAAAGTCCCCAAGTCTGTGAGTGTCGACATTGGAATTGGGCCCATGTCTTACTTTTTTTTTTTTAGAGATTGTCATGCTAAATTGGCACTAGAGTTCCCTAACTCTTTTTATTTCTATTTATTTATTTATTTTGGCAGGACATGAGAGATCGACTCAATGAATTAGATCTGGGCTACAACTTAAGCTTGGCCATTTGTGAAATTGGCACTAATAAAAGCACTAGCGATTTAGTTTCCGTTTGTATTGTATCCATGGACGCACAGACATCTGTCATTGTATTGCACTAATACGAATGAAAACTTAAGGACCAGTCTACAAAGGCTGGCAAACCCAATTTCCTGTTTTTGCCTGCCACCTGGCTAATACTACACCTGACCACAATGCCCATCCATGTGGATGGTGGGAGAGGCTGGCAGTACTGTGCTATCTTTTTCAAAGGTGTTTAGCTTGGCTTAGTGGATCAAGTCCCACCCAAAAGATCCTCACGAGTGAGCCACCCTTCGATCTCTAGTGGCACAAAAGCATCAATGGTTTCTCCAATCCAGGAGAGGTGTGTATCCATGAAAAGACTGTTCAGTTGGAATGGTTAAGTACACAAATGGAGGCCAAAATGAGTTTGCTCAGTGGGGTTCTTGGGCTCACCCTTAGAGAAAGGGTAGAAGCATTGAGATGGTATGAGCTACCGCTCCTTTGTCTTAAAAGAAGCCTTTCTGGGAGTTTGGTCTTCTGATTTATAGGAACTTTGTGGGCATGTTCAATCAAAAGGAGCTCATGGGGCATTCAAAGACCACAGGAGTCTCACCAAATGGTGCACTGGCTCTGGAAACATTGTATGCCCAGAGATAATGGTGGTCTTTTAAATACTTGGAGACTGTGGTCTACGTCCTATTTGGAAAAGTTCTGAACTTGTTTCACTTGTTAGAAAGAAGTAGGTTAGGGACTAAAATCTACTTGGTTTGGTTTTTAGCACTTGTTTAAATTAAGCCACTAAAAATGCTTGGGAAGGTTTAAGTGCTAACATTTACTTGGGGAGGGTTTAACCTCTTAAGCCCCAAGCCTAACTAATCTCCTGCCTTTTGCCCCCGTATCACGGGGCGTTGGAGCTTAAGACTTTGTGGATTTCTTAGGATTTCCATGTACATGTAGCTGTCCAGAACCAAAAAATTAATTATCTCAGATCAAAGAAGTATCTGTCTTCGGACGTTCCCAAAAGCCAGAAGTCTGTTGCTTTATATGATCTTACATAAGAATTCATTAGCAAGGGGCCTCTCCATGCACTGACATAACCTCACAGCCAGCAGAGCCTTCTGCCGTCTGGCTGGAAGACATCCAGATAACATCAGTCCAGTAGGCAGTCTGTGCAGCATGTGTTAAAGGGTTCAGAGAAATTGCAATTTAACGCTAGACCCACTTCAAATGCCCTGCAAAAGGATGTTCTCTAAAATGTGAGGGCTTATTATTATGATTGTGAAGTGAAGATTATCAGACATTTGAAGTTTTATTGCAGCAGGTTGGATTAAATTGTAGAGGCTTGAAGTATATTAGTGATGTCAGCAATAACAAAAAAAAAAAAAGGAAAACAGTTTCAAATAATCTAAACAACACAATTTCTTTTTTGGGTTTTTCATGTAACAACCGCAACAATTTCCTCTACTAACTGGAGATAGCATCCATGTAAGTAAAGCAGTAAAATGGTTGACTTGAAAATTTGTCTGGTGAATTGAAAGCAGTTCCAATTTCTTTGGAACTTTTCTTATAGTTAGGAATGTGATGCTGAATTCACATTGCTTTAACAATTAATATGCTACACACAATCTCATACTTCCCCATTGTGCAAGAAACTATACAAATGTTTTCAGTACCTGAAATAATTTTCAATATTTGACATTATATGTTACTGAAAATGGGGATGGTTCTAAACAATAAGAGTAGATGGTGACATTATGGGGTTTAAATGTATAACATAATCCTCCACAATTTACAATGTATGTATAAGGAAATTTTAAGTTCTGGTCATTTCAAGGTTGTACTATTTTACAGCAAACATGCTGTGTAAAACAGGGACAGTCCATGCTTCCCATATTCCCTGTAATTATCCTACTTTAAATAGGCTCAAAAACCAAGATAGGTTATATGTATACAGTAGACTTTGTAACAATACAAGCTACTATAAAAGAAACATGTTTTCCCAAAGTTTAATAAGTTTATTAGTAAAATTTAAATATATGAATCAAGGCTGTGTTTAAAAGTAAAAATCTGTTTTCTAGCAACAAAGGAAATAAATGTACTACGGCTAAAAAAAGAGAGAAATTGCTAAGGTACAATGGTTATTAGACCAACACCCAATGTAAGGCTTTTCCCAACTACCAAATCATTTTATGTTCTTGTTATCATTAAATTATCAGTGTGTGCAAGCTCTTTAACTGAATTGTTATGTTTAATGGTAAATTATAATTGTTTTTTTCAATAAATTTTCAAATGAGCCATTTCACAAAATAACAGAACAGATTATTATTTTTCTTTATTAATATAGATTTATAAATTTACATTCCTCATGCAATGTATGAATGTTGTCCTTGATTCATTTCTTCGTGGAGACTTTCAGTCCTAATAAATAATATTTTAAAACAGGTTTTTGACAGTTTTCTAAAATCTTTGTATTTCACTGATTTGGGGATTTTGGTCCATTCATACTTCAAATATGGACTAGTTTCCAGTTCCATAATAGCAGAGTAGGCACTCATTAAAACTCCTCAATTCTTTTTAAAATCGAGAATTGTTACGCTCATATTCTTTGCTGAAATAAGTACACTTTGATTTGGTGGAAGTTGCCAACATTATCTAAGAATTGCTGGGAAGCTTAGCCGTCATGTTAAAAAGTGTGTTACAATTAAAATTCAGAAAGCCGCTCAAATGGGACTTAATTACAACTTTGTAAACTGTGAAAAGTCATTATCTTGTTAGTTAGTGTCACTGTGCATGTCCAATCCATTCTTTAAGACTCTACGGTGATGAATGGACAGCACTAATACATATTCTAGTCATAACTCTCCAACATCTTCCTAATGAGAAAACACAAATTCCCAAAGAATTACTGTGAAGCTCACTTACAGCCGGTTACAGCGGAATACACACCATGTCATTGTTTCCAAAGATGCACTTCCGCCTAATGATGCTGTGCTTGCCACTCGAGAGCTAGAAAACCTTCACATCTGTCTACCTCACCTCCTTATCACCATAATGACTTCCTAATGGAGTCGTGTTTGATTTATGCTCAAATATTCCACGCTCAAATTTGCAAATATGGACACTGCAGCTCTACTATGCTTTTTAAGCCTTTTAGCTGTCAACAAAACAGCCTTCCCATCTGTTCTGTACAGATACATAAAAAAGTATGATGGAAGAAAATTAGATTTAATTAGGGTCCCCTCAAAAATGTGAACCTGAGCACGTTAAGTAGGACGTTGTGAATTACAAATAGCACAAAATTGCTGGCAACAGGACACAAACAAAGACAGCGTTCGGCGTGCTGGAAAGTCATGTGACACAATGTCATCCACAGGCCTGGAGCTGAAGATAAATTCCTAATTTGTGGGTTCCAGAGTTGCTGATCCTTCAAAACGCACTGTTTTATTTTTCTGTAGAAACTGTGAATTGGCTGTTTACTGGATGCCAGATAAAGACTGTTGGACTCAGCAACAAATGTGCTGGCAAAAGCAAAGAGAAGCCATTGATTCTGTGTCTAAACTGATTTAACTGAGTAACAAAAACTTATAATAATAGATAAATAAAAATCTTATCTGTTTCATCCATGTAATTTGATACTTATGTTCAAAAATAAATGAAAAATATTTTAATTGGAGTAAATCTTACATATCCATGAAACAACAGGGCTGTGCAAAAGTTGCATAACCTTGTAAACGTTACAAATACATTTTAAATATCTTTTTTTATTGTTATCTACCTGTGTCTGATACCTGAGACCAAATCCAAGTGTTTTAAAGAAATGGCATCCAACCCAGTGTAGTGAAAGCAGTGCAAAGTGGAACTAAAAACAGGTTTACGGTGTGAAAAGATTCTCTATGTGTCCTCACCAGCTGTTGGCCTTGCACCCCCCAGGCAGCATACTGGAGAACTGAGTTAACCACCTCAGGAGGGTCCAGCTCCCAAACCTCCCTAAAGTAAGGAAAGAGTAAACAGAGGATAATAATCACTCAACATCCACTGGTGGATAATGGCTAGGCTACTTTTTTAGATGAAAATTATGGAAATGTGCAATTCAATAGACCACTTTTGTGTGTGTGTGTGTGTGTGTGTGTGTGGGGGGGGGATATAATGCAAAAACAGTGAGTAATAACAGCAAACCTGTAAAGCCAAAGTGAATATCGTTGGGTTCCTAGGCCCCCATTTTGAATATATTAGCTCATCGACTGGCCATTATTATGACTTCCATATGAATTGCCAGTAGGTTGTTGCCTCTGGCAGATTATGATAAAGTTAAGGCTTATCTCCTGTTAGAATGGGTGGAAAAGCCTTGCAGTCATGTGTTGAAGACAAGAGATGTCTGTAATAATTTTGAAAAACCAAATGGAAGTATATTACAAACTGGAGAGTGAAAAACAGCCTGATATCAGTGAGATGGGGAGGACTGATGCTGCTAAACCTTTTCTAAAACATCTGAGCGTCAACTCTGCCCA